TAGGGAAACATTGAATATTGAGGAAATGGGATTCTGCTGTCTGAAAAAACAAATGTTTTGAAGCAACATGCCAGCAAATAGTAAAATATTATTAGACATAATGAAAGCAACTTGCACTTCTTTGAAAAGCCTTTAGAGTAGGCAGAGGATCAAAGCTGCCAGCTTTGTTTGCAAAACAAATGTGCCTGCACAGGGAAAAATAGTGATGTTTGAAGGGAGCCTAACTTTATGTCAAGCTGGAAATTTCAGAATCTGTTTTCTGATCCTAGTACGTGGAAATTCATTGGGCATTGTCGAGTGCCTTATGAAAACAATATAATAAGTAGGTAAAAATTATTGATCATTCTTCTAAGTTTAGTATAAAATCATTATTAATTTATTACAAAGTTTATAGAGCCTCCTACTTATTTTTGGTTGAAATAGGTCAGAAAAGTATCAGTATGAAATTATAACTACAGTTTGTGAGATGTTAACAGTATCATAGTGAGCAATTCTTACATGTTAAAAAATGTAAAATGTTTTCAAATCCTTGACAGTAACTTAAACCATTTTATTTTCCAAGGGCTGGCTTATTTTTTTGTAGTAATGTATTAGCTATATTTTCTATTGGTAACAGGCTTTTAGCCCTTTATGTATGAAAATAAATTACTCAAAACCACAGTGCTTCCTTCTTGGATGTAATGAATTAACTGAACATATATTAATAAGTCCCTGAATTAGTATAATCATTAAAGTAGTTTTACAGAAAAAAAAAAAATCCTTCGTAAATTAAGCAATCTCACTTATCTTGATAATAAATTAAGTAGAGATTAACCATTCTTCTAATCTCAGCAATTCTATCAAATTTTTTCCATATCCATAAGAAAGTTATCTGGAGAAAGAAATCTATGGTAATTTAAGCCTCTATCTTAAGAGAATCTAGCGCCATCCTAGATGTCTAAAGATACTCAAAATATTGAAATGGGACTAGAAGAGAAATCAAAGGATTTGTTGAGGACTTCAGCCCTTTCAGAGTGTCAGCATGACACTAACTAGGGCTGAAGTGACACTTACATTGTGTGTCTGGATCACACCCTCAAATTCAATGTAAAGATGAGAACAGGATTGATGGAATAATTAATATTGCAATATCTCTGGCAAACTGTGTTTTGTTTTTTCACTAGCATACTTGTCTTTTCTGTGAGATTACAGGTTATGGTATGAGAACCCAGGTGTTTTCACGCCTGCTCAGCTCACTCAGATCAAGCAGACATCTCTTGCCAGAGTTTTGTGTGACAATGGAGACAACATAACCAGGGTACAACATGATGTCTTTAAGGTGGCTGAATTCCCACATGGATATAGTAGCTGTGAAGATATTCCTAAACTGGACCTCAGGATGTGGCAAGATTGCTGCGAAGGTCTGTATACAGGTGGATTTGGGTCTATTAATGTATGCATTGTTTAGCGTCTGTTCATTTTATTCTAAGAAGACATTCAACTTGTTCAGTTTATGTTAAGATGTTACAAGCTCAAATCTGGAGCCCAACCTTTGTTAAGAGAGCAGTCATTCCACATATTAAATAGACACATTCTAAACATAGCAGAGATTTGAGCATTGCATGGTGTGGATAACTGTTTTCCTGTTTTCTTCCCTCTGTGGATAAGTGTTCTTGTTCATTGGCATCTCCTTCAAAAGTTAGGACAGCAAGGTGATTTGTTTTTCTTCAGACATAAACTTTTTACCTCCAGAAACAGTGTTTACTTAACTGCATGATGCATAGGACATCAATCCTGGAATCTCGTGTTCCTTCGTAGTCTGCAGGCTTTTATCTCACATACAGATTTTCTGCAGGGCCTCTCTGCATGTTCACATCAGACTTCACTGCATCTGTAACTCAGTTAAAAGATCTCTTCTCTAGAAGAATCTTCTGGATCACAGAGATTTGCATAACTATTTGCAGCAGCATCAACAACAAAATACTTCAGAGGAAAATGACCTCTCTCTATTGAGATCTCCTTACAGCATTGCTATTGTTTTCTTTTGACAAAACTCAAACGAAAAAGTATATTTAAGAATTTTGGGAACTTCTCTGTGGAACTCTGATTATCTAACTGGGAAAAACTTGCTTTTGTTAGAGAAGGTAATGGTACTGTTGGTTTGACAATTATTACGGTCTTATAATTTAACTAGTAAAAACTTAGCTCTCAATACAAGTGTCTTGTAGATTTGCTGATTTGCTGAAGAAGGGTGTCCAGATCTGAGTTTTTTAATCTTTTCTACTGCAGATTCTCTTAAGTTTGCTACTGCTGAGTAGGCTATTCAATATTCTGTCAAAAATTATGCATGAATAAAGAACCAGTAGATTGTATTTCTGAGAGGTCACACTCTTCCAGTAGTATCCTTTTAACTCTTTTGGTAAGATATAATTGTGCCTGATGACAAAAGTCTCCTTTAGTGATATAGCTCAGAATTTAAGGTAGTAGGTAAAATGTAAATTGATGGACATTGTCCTTTCAACCTGGTACAGATACAGTAAATACTGAGGAAAGACTCCAACTAGCATGACTTTACCATGAGAAGAAACATAGGTGTAATTAAGAAAGAAAAAAGTATAGAGATATTGACTGTTCAAAGATACTGCAGAATTTCACTTTTAAACTGACTACTGTATTGTCTTGTCCAGTAAACAACACTTCAAATAATATATCACTCTCTAAGAATATTATTCCTTGGGAGACTTGGTTCAAAATATCAGTTACCTGTGTGAGACTAGGAGAAATACATGAAATCTTGTACAATTTCCCTCTGGTTTAATTTTATTCAGGTCTTGCTCTAAATTTTGTAAATTTTTTTTTTTTTTTTTTTTTTAATGTTATTCAGATTTTTTTAAACAGTATTTACCACATTTGGCATTCCAAATGAATGATAATAGCTTATAAAACTCTAGATACGGTTGATGCGTTGCAATTTTAATGCAGTCTTCCAGAATCTTATCAAAATAACATTGACATATGCCAGAAGCATTGAGAGAAAATGAATTCTCATTCTTCAAATGCTGTACCGTAAAGAAATAAATCTTACTTTTTCAGTTCAGGATAAGTTAACTTTAGTATGGTTCGTGAAGCTTGACAGACAGTTTCGCAAATACATTAATTATATCAATTTGAAAAATTGTGAAACTCTTCTGAGAAATTATATGTTGATTCTTTAAATATTATGTTATCACTAAGCCTTCTAGAGCAGATGTTGTCTTTGGAAAATCTGTAGAGTATTCAGCCATTCAACAGCCTAGCTTGTATTTTCGTTCAAGAGTGTTACTACCAGAGAGTAGATGCAGTACTGTTAGATAACTAACTGTATGCAGTACAGTTAGACAACTGAAAAGGAAAAGAAAGGGCAAGTAACTAGTGTTCTTTAAAAGAAAAAAGCCCATAGAATCATAGAATCATAGAATAGTTAGGGTTGGAAAGGACCTTAAGATCATCTACTTCCAACCCCCCTGCCATGAGCAGGGACACCACACACTAAGCTATGTCACCCAAGGCTTTATTCTCTTCTTCTGAACTCAACTGTAGTCTGTGTAGAGGTTAGTGAATTAAAACTGAAGTATGCATGGCTTGCATTGCTTTCTTGTGTGGGTGAATGGCTGTGATGTTTTCTGTGGAAATAAAGGTTTAATCAATTAATTAAAAAAAATTTTTCTGTGACACTATGGACTCGTCACTACCCTGAGGTAGGGGCATACACAGCACACAATCAGGAACAGCATTTAAGTTAAATACATACTGGGGGTTTTCTTCTTTGAATTTATTATTGTTTATTATTTAAAGGAAGAAAAGTTACACCATTCTCCACATTTAAAATACTTCTGATTATAATTTAAATTGTCCTAAGTTAAAATTTAGAATGCAGAATACTGTTCATTGCACTTTGTGTATGTTTAGTAAGCAACCCATATGTTTCAGCTGTTTTAGCTTGGTTAAAAAACACATCTGTTTTTGTTATCCTTCCTGTTTTGTTCTAGTCAAAATACTTTTCCATACACAGAACAGAAAAACTTCTTAGTTACAAATATCTACTTCTTAGACTTCTTGAGTAAAGCTCATATTTATTTCTTATAAAGTAGAGCATTATTCCTTTTATAATACCAATACCAGATTACCTTCAGATTTCAATTAAAGAATCATACAACAGAATGACTAGTTTATGGTGGGAAAAAGGGGGTCCACTGAGCTACACAATTTTTTCTTCTTGTTTCCTTTGCTTTTTACCTTTCTTTGTCTTGTCAGAGATAGTGGAGGAATTACTGCAGATTTACAGCAGCTCTTTATTTGAGCAAAAAAGCATCCAAGCTTCGAATTTTCCAAGCAAGAAACTTTTGACAGTTTATTCTTTTCAGCCTTTCCAGTGGAAAAAAAAAATAAAAAAAGGACCTTTTTGATTTTTGGGAGTTTGTTTATTAGCTTTTTTTAAAGTACTAAGTGTATGCTTCTGTGATTACTGTTACTGACTTTGTATTTCAGTTCTGATTTCTTTCATCAACGAAATGATAAATCTCTTTTCCCTCAAACATAAGCATACTGTTATGGTTATACCAAATATTTTTGTGAGATTAATTATGTAAAAAAGTCTAGAAATCAGGTGCACAGACATATTGGCTGATATATAAACACATTTTTACTCCAAATATGTAAATTTGAAATATTTTCCATCTTGAGGTTTTGTTTTTTTCTTAATTGAAATGAAAAATTTCTTTAACCTTTTCTTTTATGTCAAACAATGAACCAGGAGGAAGTAATTCAGAAAATATGCAAGCCATCCTCACAAACATAAACTGACTTAGGAAGATGATTTTTCTTAACTGGTTCTCAGTTAGCAACCAACTTATCTCCTGTCTCATTTCATGTACAATTCGGGAAAACACCATTATACGAATTATGATTAAAAGTGTTTAAATTCCACTGAATTTCATTAGGAGAATTACGACACATTCTGAAAGTGGATTGTCCTGGGTTCAGCTACAGCAGTCA